TCCATCCATCAATCCATCCATCCATCCATTCATCCATCCATCCATCCATCCATCCATCCATCCATTTATCAATCCGTCGATCGATTCATCTATGTAATAATTAGCTGATTAATTCATTAACTAATAACTAATTAATCAGGCTTCAAAGATTTCATGTGCCATTGACCGTAAAGTTACATTACATTCATCTAGGTGCATAAAGTACGCAACTAATACGATGTGTTAGGGCTTCATAGTAATTCCAACGAGAAACTCTATTTTAACGACATAATTTATATAGATAAGCATAAAATACTAGTCGAGATATACAAACAAGACTAGATACAATCCTTATATTAATTTAAGATAATTTCGAGAGCTAAAAATACATGTATTATTAGCGCTTGATAATTTAACAATAACCTGACAACACACAGCGCCATCTGTGGGCTAAATGTTTAATATATGCAACTCGCCGTACTAAATGCAATAGAAGTAACAGTGTCAGATTGAGACTTTCGCAAGAAACGAGAACAAATATGTGTCTGGGTGCTGAAAAATGTGCATAAAATACCCCAGATGGTTTGGCTTTTTTATATTTATCAATTTATTATGAAGCCTGAGTTTTGCCTACAAGCAATAATGTCACAATAATTTTGCATAATTCACGATCAGGCTAGTGTTTACGGGTAATCATGTACCTATTACAAGAAAATAATACCGTCAAAAACTTTATTAGAAACTGTCATTTTATGAATCGACGGTAGAGACATTATACTGCAATCGTGTTCAAATTGCTCCACATAAATATAAACGCTATAATATTGCGGCGATAGAGGGCAGCATCAAGCTAGCTCGCATATGGATCGGACGGTCATGCGAATCCAAAAATGCCGCATCATGTCTGGTTTCGACCATAGATGTCGCCTCTGAATACGCGCTCAGCACCGAGCAAAACCATGTGCTATGTTGAATTGGTGCCCGAAATTGCGGAAAATACATGAAAAGCTGTAAACATTATAAAAGTGCATAGAATAGAGGGTGCTGAGAGGAAAACCAACAGGTGGAACAGAGACTCTTGCGTGAGCACCGTAGTGAAAAAGTGAAAACGGATTAAAGCGATAGACACACAGAGAGATCGAATTATAAGAGGTGTGTGTGTGTGTGTGTGTGTGTGTGTGTGTGTGTGTGTGTGTGTGTGTGTGTGTGTGTGTGTGTGTGTGTGTGTGTGTGTGTTATGTATGCGTGCGTGTAGGAGTTCAATCGCGCATCATCGGTTATATATCTACGAATGATAACAAAGAATGCAACTCTTTTAAATGTTTTTACAATATGACAAGACTTGGCATATTTAGCCTAGATTCAAGATTTATCCTTAGGCCAACGTGGTCAGTTTTGTACAGATTCCATAAACAATTGTATGTATTCAGATGACGCATATGATGATCGCATACAGACAGTAGTCATATAGTGCATGGTGAATTTATACTACCCGCTATAAACGACTAAGCAGCGCAGTATATATGTTGCAATCGCGTTTCCTCCGCCAGATATATGTCACATGTCATGTTCCTCACTTGTGAAGATAGCCGCCTACAACCCCTGCAGTTTGCACGGCGAATGACCTCCCCGGGCCGACAGACTCGAATTCAACGGTTGTGTGTTACGCATTATATCGTACGGAGAAAGACGGTCTCGTTTTAACAGCCCGTTTAATATGCACCCCGCGCGCCTGTAGCAGACACGAGCTGCTGATGCCTTTCAGTGGGTTATTGGTTGGATTTGTGCGAAAGTAAGTCTACAGTAAGTGTTGGAACTGGACTGTAGCGATAGCGTTGTGGGGCACTCAGCCTAACTCCGCTGACGTAAAGGGGAAAGGAAAGTAGATAGCACTGAAATAATTATTCGTAAAGCACTCACGGTAAAAATCGATTGGTATGAAAATATGACGAAGAGGATCTAGCTGGCTGTCAGTGTATAACATTGATGGGGATCCGCTCAGTCCATGTTCAGTGTGCTACATTAGCGGTGGTTTGGCCGGTGTGGCAGAGCCACCAGTCAGCACGGATACCGGGTAACCTATTCCGCCGGCGAGCTCTATTGTTTGCATCATCATTTCTGCATGGCATGTCTGTCGAATTTGCGAATATCTTATTGAAAATATTAAATGTGCATACGGGTCTACGCTGCACTGTGGAAACTCGTTTCTAGTTTTATGCGTTGCGCGCCCAGCCAGGTTTCCGACCACTGCTATCTCCACTGATAGTCGGCAAGTCGTCACAGCGCTTATGCATTTGCACCGACAAGCCCGTGCATGCAGCTATCTAAAAGTCAGTTGTCTCGGATGTTCTGCTTCCGTATTGCCATATCTTTCCCGTCGTTTATGTGGAAACACAAAGGCGGTGCAATATTTACTTGTTTACTGTCATGTCATCCATTCTCTCATGTAATGTTTTACGGCTTTGCGGTAGAGTATTTCATCAAAGCATGCGTTTTGTTCAGTGGCTTTCGCAGGGCGCCTTTCGTTCTGCGCATGTACGCGCACATAAGGTGTTTGTAAAACAGATCGAGGTGTTTGCTTTGGAATAATAAGGTACTCTGCTTTTACTACCTGTTTCTGTGTGTACGCAGGGCAATAAAATGTCTGTGTAAATCAATGCTTATGAATTATGGATGTGTAAAGTGCACGCAATAACATACAAGTATAATAACAATAACAATAATAAGGCAAAGAATATAAAAAGAAAAAGAAGAAAATGAAGATGAAAAAGAAGAAGAAAGAGAAAAAAGAACTTGATTAAGAAAAAAGAACAAACCCAAGAAAAAGAGCAAGAACAAAAACAAGAACAAAAACAAAATAAAAAACAAGAACACGAACAAGTGCAAAAGCAAGATCATAAATAAGAGTAGGTACAGTTACTAGAACAAGAATAAAACAAGAAGAATAACAAAAAGAGCAAGAGCCATACCAAGAGAAAGAACAATAGCTAGAGCAAATGTAAATACATGAACAAGAATAAGAATAAGATTCAAAATAAGAATAGGAATGAGATTGAGAATTAGAATTAGAATGAGAATGAGCATGGGAATGGGGATGGGAATGAGAATGGGAATGAGAATGGGAATGGCGAAAGATATAGACCATCTAATTGTGATCACACATTCAACATTTCCCCCTGAAATACCTGTAAAATTATATTGCTCACTGTTGATCTACAGGTTTAAATGTCGTAAAATCTCTAGTTTCTCTATACATTATGGTAACCATTTTTTCCATTATTTATTTGCGTGCGCTGTCAGCCTGAGCTGCATAATTTAACACTAAGTTTTAGTAAACTTAGGTAAACTTAGTAACACTAAAACTAAGTAAACTTAGAAAACGTTAGTAACTTTTAGTAAGGCTAATTGCAATCCGCGAACAACAACTTTCTGGCTCGCATAACAAATGACAGCTCCGTATACTTCGTCACGTACGGTGTATACAGCCTGAGGTTCTTATAGAACCCGTTGTACGCCTCCTTCAGTTCAATTAACTTGTGCGCTGCACCTGGAATGACTAGTCGTAGAGAGTTGAACAGGAGTATTCGTGAACCATGTTACGTGCGCATAGCTGACGATACCTCGACACATCGCATTCGTCTCTATTGTTACGGGCTATAGTAGAAACAGCGATCCTCATTAATTTCTAGTCAATGGCATGCAAAGTTTAGCGTAAATTTACTCTTTGCATTCGAATATGTATTTGATCGTACCTCCGTGACATACTGGTTGGGCGAGAGCCTGACGAACTCCTTTTTTTCTCATTTTTTTAATATAGCTTTCTTCCCCTCCCTGCTCGTTTCCTTTCATCCGCATTGACTCACATTTTCTCGTATATTACTGGTTTGAGCACGCAAGCTGCTGGTCGTGGGAGAGCCTGGTACTCTAGCAGTAAGATTCTTACGATGAACGCAGTATGATAGTTTGTTGACACGGATTAGCGGCATGGCTCGACTATAACATTCCTGGCGTCTTACGAACATGCAGTTCAGGTTACATACAGGTATCACGTAATGTTGCGACAAAGGCAAGAATTTTTAGCCAACGCGCAGACACTAAGACAGAAATTCGTCATTTATCGGCTGGTGACGTCACGACGTGTCCGAACGCCGACGTTGTAATTCGGTACCATGTTTGTTGACGAGTAAGTGAAAAAGTAAGGCGATGTGAATAGAAGTAAAGACGGAAAAACGTTTTTTTTTTCAAATGA